ATGAAAGTCAGTTATTTTTTGTTGAATTTTTTATCTAATTAAGATGTATACTGAACCTCCCAATCGATGTGTGTCTACTAACAATTGAAGAGATTAGCATGGACATCAGACAAATCAAGAGTGGCAAAGCAGCAGGACCAGACAATATTCAAGCAGAGGCACTGAAAGCAGATGTAGCAGTAATTGTAAAGATATTCTACATTCTCTTTGGCAAGATTTGGGATGAAGAACAAGTACCAACAGACTGGAAGGAAGGACTTTTGGTCAAAATACTAAAGAAAGACGATCTCAGCAAGTGTGATAACTACAGGGGAATCACTCTTCTCTCAATACCAGGAAAAGTCTTTAACATGGTATTGCTAAACAGGATGAAGGACTGAGTAGACGCCCAACTTCAAGACCAACAGGCAGGATTCCGTAAGGATGGATCGTGTACAGACCGAATCGCAACACTACGGATCATCGTTGAACAATCAATTGAATGAAATTGGATTGAACTAGAAAGGAACGCCCAGGATAGTGTGAGTTGGAGAATGCTGGTCGGTGACCTATGTTACATTGGGAGTAACAGACGTAAGTAAGTAAGTAATTAGGTAGGTGAGTATGTAAGGAAGGAAGGAAGGAAGGAAGATGTATACACAAAACTGAAATATTCCAGAGTTGTCAGGACAGAATATTTACTTATCATTGATACAGATTTGAATTATCTCAATGTTAATATGTGCAACTAAATTTGGATGGGCTTTTGTTGATACATTATAGTGGTTAGAAGTAATTCAATCAATATTCTAACAATATTCGTAATAGTTCATTTTAAGACAGGTAGAATTGGATAAGCACAACCGAAAGTATTATATTTGGAATCCAAATTTGCCACTGAATCAAATACAACGGAATCATCAATTAGTACAAATAATACACATGTACATCCTGTGTAGACTGTCATGATATAGCCATTTTGTGACATATTTTATAGACTAAATGAATTGTGGTTAGCAGTTAGAGTCTGGTCAGCTGGATGTACCTATATCGTGGTGTTTATTTTCACACTGATACTTCAACCTATTGGTCTTCGATTCAGATATCAACGCGTTATCCTCTAAGTGACTGAGTTCATTAACTTGTCAAACTAGTATGACATTTATTAGTAACATTTATTTTTAACCTTCCGTTGTTGGTTTTGAGGATTGAATTTCGATCAAAATTTGCATTTTACGAACATCCAACTAGTGAATATTCAAAAACATGTACATTGAGTCTCTAGATAGTAATTACCTGATATCCATTTGTAAATATTTACTACATACTAAATCTCCCCCCCCTGTGGCTAGATATTAAAATGTATCAAATAATTATGCCTTTGTAATCCCATTGTTTGGATACCTCGGCCAATTAATTAGGTGTTTGTATATTCTAATGCTGTATCAATGAATGTTATCTGTTGTCTATCTTTATCTATAGTCTTATTGATTGAAAATATTCTCAGCCGATAATTTGTGATTCACATGTAAATTATATATTCATATCTTATTCAAGCACACACTTCCCTCTTTTGCAAGCATGCCTGATGCATGATCAGCCTCCTAAGCTAGCACGTTTGAAATAAATCACTCCCAGTCATATTAGGGATAGGATATGTGTCTATGATTTTGCACAGTACCTGTCTATCAATTTGCATTATGGGTGCACTATCTAGCGGTTTTCCGCTTGTTAAGTAAAGGAATGTTGCATATAATTTGCACTTGATTTTCACTGGGGAGATTTAATTTGAAGCTCTAACTTTCACTTTATTTGTTTTTTCATCCAATATGTTTAAGTAGGCAACGGTGCGTTGCCGATAGAAGACGTATGTGAATAGCTCCAGACCTTTGTAATGAAGTCTCCACTGAATATTACACTCTTATATGCACCACTATACCACGATCATGACCCAAAATTGAAGGTGTTTGAGATGCTGACGACTTCTTCAAACGCTTTGACATTAAATTAATAATCTGATTAACAGTATGGGGTTGTGAAGATCATTAAGTTTTTGATTGAGATCGTGAAACGATTGATGTCAGACCATCTTTGAAAACCTGAAAGTACTGGAAGGTCGTTTCGTCCTATTGTGGAACTTCTGAGCAGTGCTCATTCTTGATCCCATTCGCGGGATCGGAACCCGGGGCCTTTGGTCTCGCGCGCGAACGCTTAAACTCTAGGCCACTGGGCCAGCCGGTATCCAACGGTGCTCACGTCTAACCTCAATCAATTCACGAAATTGTGCGAGCATCTTCCATTGTAGATAGAACCTGTCTCTACCCGACACGGATTAGCACAACTGGTCACGACTTCTCACTAGAACTCCAAGAATCTCCCATGAAGCTAGTCACTAGTAAGCACGTGATAATTACGCACGAGACCAAAGGCCCTGGGTTTGAATCCCGCGAGTTGGATCGTGGATGCGCACTGCTGAGGAGTCCCACAATAGGACTAAACGGCCTTTCAATACTTTCAGGTTTTCAATGGTGGTCTAATATCAATTGGTTCATGATCTCAATCAAAAACTCAATAATCTCATTGTTGAAAGGTTCAAAATAATCTGTTAACAGTTATTCATTTTCTATTACTATAAAATGTCAAGGTAAAAGTATTGTGAAGAAAGTAAACTAAGCTATTTATAGAAAAATTTTAATCTCAGCTACCAACAGTGAACAGCAGTACAGTCAATGAGTTCCTAATCATTCTTAGAATATGATAATTTAGAATTTGATATCACAGGTCTGTTGTATATTTCCTTTTCACTCAAACAATGACATAACTGGATGGTTGGGAACTATCAACAGAAATCCAAGAACCTAAGCTTCATGCTAACTGTCATTTATAAAATTTATCTTAATTGTCATATGATTCAAATATACAGTACCCAATGACATTGTTGTAGCCACTAATCACACAGAGCTGTTAATACTTTAAATAATTTTTTATAACTGATTTGTCAGAATTGGAAACAAAGCTTAGATTATACGTACTTAAATTACGATACATAATTTTTGTAATTAACTTGACAAGAAGTCAGAAAATCATTGGAAATAATAATGATCTGAGTTTACTTTATCGAGTTCCTGTTTTCACATCATCAGCTTACAATAAGTAACATTTCATATGGGACTTAACTACCTTGTCCAGAAATGAAACTGTCAAGAAATTAGTGTAAGCATGCACTGGTGTGATGTAGTGGAATATCCAAATAAAGTCATGAACAATATTGAGTCTAAATTACATCTAATAAATATAATATATATTTAAGAATCTGTCCTCATAAAATGAATATTATCAGTGTGGAGATTGTAAAAATTGTTTAATGATATTGAAATCATGGAACGACCCAAGTTAGACAACCATTACAAACCTGGAAGCATTGAACATCTGTTTCGTACTAGCAAGTGACACCTTATCAGTAATTATCTACAATCCTATCCTTGGGGGTTGAAACAAGGACCCACAATTTAGCGTACGAACGCTTAATTTCTAGACATATCAACCAATTCTCAATATTGTGTAACTACCTTCCACTGTTTTTGGTGAGTAAATTTTTCATACCCAACATGGTTGAACTCCATTAGTCAGAATTTCTTGCAAGGACTCTAAGAATCATCTCTCAAAACGAATCTCTAGTCAGTACATTGTTTGACGAGTACGAGGTTGTGGAAGTTATTAAATTCCGGATTTATGGAGGAGAAAGTTGAGCTTGCTAAACCGTAGGTCTTGGGCTTAATCTCCGGTGGTAGAGTCTTATACGCACATTTTTTAAGAGTCCCATACAAGAACGAAACAGTTGTCCAGTGCTTTTAGGTTTTTAATGGTTGTCTAACTAAGGTCAGGCCATGGTCTCAATAAAATAAGTATTATTCTACTCCAGTCGTGATTCTTACTCTTTCTGAACTTAAATCAATTCCGCATATATTTTAGATCCCCATGGCTTGATTACATTATGATCGAGTCGTCAATGATAATACATGAAATATAGATTCTACTTACCTAGTGTATATTCTGTTGACAAAGCCCTTTAGTAACAAAGTGGATATAAAATTCCAAATATGAGTGTTTCGGATCTTTGTACTTCATACATCCATTTCGGCTGACAGACAAAGAGATGATAAGTAGAGAAATTAAATATGCTTACTGAAAAATAATCTAATACCAGAGTTTAAGTCCGTTCAAAGGTTCTGATAAATCACGTAGGCATGTAATAACGGAGAAAACGCTTCATCATATTGCTAAAGCAAGAGCATTCATGTTAGACACCAGGACAAAACACATTTCAGTAAAAACCGTAATCATCATACACTAATCAATTTCTAAAACTCAAGTACAATGCCATGGTAAAGATGACTAATGAATACTAACCAATATTAGTATAGTAGGTTTTTGTGTTCACAATTTACAGAAGGGACTGACTTAAGCTAGTATTGAAATCTAGGACGAGTGTTTCGTCCTATTTGAGACTCGTCATTTGGATGTGCCTGCATCCCAGAACTGATGTTAACTCTAAGACTCGAACTCAGTGCCTTTAGCTTCAAACACAAACGCGTTATCCACTTAGCTACTGAGTCCAAATAACCAGACAGCTTGTGCAACACGGCAAATTTTAATTTAAATTCATATATATTGGTTGTTTGGACTTGAACAACTGCTGTCTTAGACATCAATGAGAAGACTCAAACAACCAGTATATTTAAATTAAAATCCTTCAAATTGTCTTCGCTGTCATATTATTTCTAACACATTTCTACTTACCCTTGTATGTTGTATGACAACTTTAACCAACACACACGTGTATGATTTTGTGTTGATTATGTTTGACTAAATTGATTGAGCATGGTAGAGTAGTTGTTTCGTAGTGTTGATAGTTAAGATGGATAGTTTTAACATTTCCTAGTCTTTAAGTTATATGTAGTGAATCAGAAACTACTGTATAATTTTTCAGATCCCACTTAAAACAAACAAAAGAACAGGATAATATACAACATTTTCAAAATGTACTTTGATGTTTTCAACAAGAAACACAAGTAAACATACAATATGAAACAAAAAATCAATCTTTTATACCTTGAAACTAAAATCATACAAAGTACTATACAATCGTTTAATATTAAAACACATACATAAAATGTTAGTAGATTGAGTCATTCTATTATAAATGCTTTTCTAAAATGTAACATATTCAAGTTAAAATAGAAACATTAAATGACTTCTGGGCAGTATTAATAGAAGTGGTGGTAACAACAAAAGTAGTAGTATATAACGAAAACACAGAGAAGGGAGAAAAAACAGAATAGGATAAAACGAAACTGTTTAAATTTTGCTGCTCAATAAGTGAATGAATAAATAATTGGACATGAAAACAATGATTATGATATGTACGGTGTGTTTGTTGTTATAACTACATATTTAATATGAAATTTCAGAGAGAAAAAAAGAACAAACAATTCCGATGAACGGAGAAAATTACACTCAAAAAATAATGCATTATTGCAAAATTACGCATGATTCTCTGTATTCTACGAGAGGATAACAATGTCAACTCTTGTAATATAAGTAAATAATAACTAAAAATCAGACAGATCTAAAACAAATTTAGATAAGACATTTCAACTACTTATAAGTAGATGGCATTCAAATATCGAAATAACTATTACCTTAAAGGTTTCTTTGAGTTAGAATGAAGATTTGAGATGAAACACAGAGTGTAAAACTTAAAATATTACAATTTCTTTTCAAAGAATTGGAAAAACACACAAGGCAACTTGGTATTTATAATATGATTGCCTATGTTGCACATGTGTGCTCTAAATGTTAAGTGACGTACATTAAATTGAAAAACAAGAAATATTAAATTCTTCACTTGAAAGAAAAAAATATCATAAAAGCATTAACGGAACAAGAAATAAAAAAACAAATAAAATTAATAATCACTGTAGAAAAACAAACAAACAAACAAAAGTATTTAGATATGCAGTATGGGGTTTCGTTTAAACTAATAAAAACAGTTTTAGTTATGGTATTCTCAACATAATTTGTTTTTACCTGTTTATATGTATGGAGGCATTCTGAGCATGAATATAAGTCTGAATGTTTTTCACTTTTTTTCAAAAATTTTTTTGAAAAGAAAAAAACGATTACACAAAGGAGAAAAATAAATTGAAAATCATTTAAATAATTAAATAAATAAGTATATAAATGCTACGACAATAGAAAGGTGAATAAAACCAAAATAAATGAAAGAGATTAAGAGAGAAATATAATTGAAAAATCACATTCAAAGGTTATCGTAAATGCGAAATTTGACTGAAAGGAATCATTTGTAAGAAGATAAAGAATGATGATATGTAAACTGGGACTATTTAAACAAAACATTTTTAAAATGGCATAAAATTGTAAGAGTTGAAAACAATGGTTCCATATTCGGCTCAGTAGAAATACACAACAATAGGTTAATGATGAGTAGACACATTCAAAGATTACATACGTACTAACAAATACACACACATGCACACAAAAAGCAATCACAATTGCAATAATAATGAATTCATAAAAGAAAAAGAAAAGAAAAATTCAGTAATATGTGATTATCATAAAATAATTTTAAGTCAACATTACTATTGTTTCTTTTCTAAATCTAAAAAGGATTAAACTATTGTATTCCAGTTAAAATCTTCCGATGGTCCATTATTATTATTATTCACAGTTGAGCTAATGTCATTACTATTGTTATTATCATTATTATTGGTCATACTATGAATATTACTACATGAATTCATGGCAGTATGTTGTGACAATCGTTGACTGACTGGCATATTATTGTTATTAATAGTAGTAGTAGTTATAGTGGATTGACATAAACCTGAATATCTTTGATCGTCTAACAACAATAATCTATTTTGGTGCTGATTGTGCGTTAGTAAAGATGATTCAATGTAATGAGGAGAAAAAAATGAGGGCGGTGACAACGATGATGAACGAAGTGTAGTGTTGGATGAAGTACAACAAGGTATATTATTATTTGTAAAATGCTGTGTAATAGGAAATCTAAAATCTGTTGTACTATGTTGTGTAGAATTTGCAATAAATTGTTGTTGTGTTGTGTTCAATGAAAATTTCTGTTCAATATTTGACGGATTAGAATTATTTGAATGATAAAAAGAACAATTATTGTTACTGGAAATTTGAAATTGGTCATTTTGAGTATCGTGTTCAAAACTACGATCATGCTGTATCAAATGATTATGGTTGTTTAAATTTGCATGACCATCACCGCCACCAACATTATCATCGTCCTCATGAGGAGCACTAGTCATGTACATTTTAAACTTTGAATTAACACTATTATTATTAAATAATACATGGCGCTTGTGAGGATGATGAGGAGAATTATGTTCAGTGCATTCATCATGATGATGATGATGTGACTGAAAAAATCGACTGGACGATTCATCATAGATTTCTAATGGTGTTGTTGTTGTTATCGTCACCTCTGCCCCCGTTGATTGTGGAAGAACAGAGACTAGATTGATGAAATTTTGTGAAACTGCTGAATTATCAGTTGAATTCATCATCATTAATTTCCTAGAGTTATTATTATTATCATGATTATTATTAACATTTGTATTGCTTATACTTTGTAATTCTGAATAAACCATATTGTTCTCATTGTTATTCAACGTGGAATCTGTAAAAAGATCTGATTGGACAGGTGAAAAATAAAACGATATAGGATGGTTAGTTAATGAATTAATCTTTCTGTTCTGCTCAAAATGGGAATGCTGATGATTTCTTGATGATAATAATAATGACTGGGAATTAATAAATTCATTTGATGAATTATTATCACGATTGCTATCATTATGTGATTGTTGAATTTGTGAATGTGATGTAGAATGAATGTCTGTATGTAACTGATTTTGATAAGTTGTATTTGAAAATGAATTGTGTAATAATCCATCATAGGTTGAATAGTTGTTGTCAGTGAAAACTGAATTCAAAATGTAAAGACAAAATTTTGGAATATAGTATCACAAATCAACATAATGTAGAGATAATACAAATATATAGATTAATAAAACAGCGAACTGAGAAAAATACATAAATAAAGACAAATAAATACAATAAAACTATAACTTATGAACTTATGCCTCAAGATAATCATTTAATATCAATGGAGAGAAGGAAAAGGAACTGTTTCACTTTTGCGAATTAACCGAAATAGGAAAATAGGGACCCGGTTCGATTATAGCTCGAAGGCATTATTTTTTGGGCAATAATATGTCAGAGGCTTCGGATTGAATTTTTGTGGTACTGTTGCCAAGTTGCGTTCAAACTAAGATGAAATAACTGTCTCGTGAATTTCATAACTTTAAGTGTTTTTCTTCAGATGATATCACTTCAGCATGAAAAATACACTTGTACAATACAGAACTCGCCTTGCAAAATTATATTAGTCGATTTTTATCTGAGGGAGTGTAAAACAAATAAAATAATTACATATTTGATTGTCTCAGCAGTATTCCACTGTCGATCATTTCACGTACCCAGTTTGTACTTTTGAAATGAAAATAACCTACAGAGGTTTGAAATCTGATGTGTATGGTAGGATAATCTAGTTCGGTGACTGGATTACAAGCTTGAAACTCGAGGACAATTACTGTTGATTGTGTATGCACATTCTTAAAAATCTATTCGCTATCTTTGAAGGCTTTATAACTTTTACTGAGACAGTTGATCAACTTCAGAAAAGTCGTTTTCTTCACAATGTTTTAACTACATAAATAGTCTAATATTTCATGGATTTATTGAGGGATTTTCACAAGTTTCCCAATAAATTTACTGTTGTGTCGTTTTTTGTTGCATATATTGGAAAACGATGGGTTGTATAAGATTTAATATGAGACATTATACCATCTATTTTACTTTGTGACTGGATACATTACAATCTTTGTTGAATAGATTTCAACTACAACCTATTATCAATTTTATCGCCTAGTGTGTGTGTAGATTATATGCATCAATCATTAATCGAATAATAAAACATTGACAATAGGGAAAAAGGGGAAATTAATTAAATCATCAAAACATAACTAACTTGATGTTTTTGGAGCATCAATTTCACTGTGAAATTTCATTGAAGTCCATATCAGATTCTGTTGATCGGTTATTGTCTCATTATGTGATTTGTTATCAACTAGACTAATAGCAGAACTGGTGCTATGAGTAGAATTAGTAGTAATAATATTAATAGTGGAAAGATTAATATTATCGACAGTAATATTATTCCCACTACTATTCATAATCGTATTATCATTAACATCCTTGGAATGAATGTATGGAGTTGAAAATCTATCAGAAGTATTTACATAATTAGCAGTAGTATTAGTAGTGGTAGTGTTAAGACGAGACAGTAAGTGATCATCATTATTCATAGTATTATCAGCATGATTTGTCAATGTTAATTCGTTCGATGTAATATTAGTAGTGGTAGTATTATTATTATTAATATTATTATTAGAATCCGTACAAACTGATGTGGGATAATTTAATACATGGTTTAACTGATGATTGGTAAGATAATGATGGAGATTTGTAGTGCTAACGCTAGTTGTTGTTATCGTTCCAAGAACAGTAGTATCGGTAGTGACCGTTGTCTCACCAGAGGTTTTTGGTTGGATTTCAGTTGTACATTCATTTTGCTGTGATCTCTTACAATACCTGTCATGAATTGGATTGATTTGTTCCAATGAAAACACGGAATGATGTAGTTTTGTTGGAGGATATTTGTTAACAACACCAATAACATCAGAGGCGAATGATGTAGAAGTAGAAAAAGAATTAGTCGAAGATGATAATGAAGAAGTAGAAGTTACAGAATCATTAATAGTAGGTATAGTCTGTTGTATATGATTGAATAATTGATCAAGTGTTAAATTCAACTCCATTAATTGTTCAATAGTAAGACTGTTTGGATTTTGATTAACACTACGAATTTTAGATATTAATTCTTTGTGAAAGAATAATAAAAGAGATAGAGGACAATATAGCATTAACACAATAGTAATAATAATAAAAGGTATGTAAATGAAACTTGATTAACTTATTTCTACCATTAAAAAGCACTGATCAGATTCTTTTCCCTTGTATGGGACTCCTCAATAGCGCGTATTTATTATTCTGCGATACTAAAACGAGACAACTGCCCAGTGATTTCTGGTTTGTGGTAATTGTTTAACTAAGGCCACCACGTGATGTAAATTCAACAATCTTCAAAAGCCTTTATACTCTTGTTTTGGTCGATGATGTACTGAACAATATCATATGAAACCCGTTGAATAACCGCTACAACAAAATCTAGAAATTAATGTAACTTACTAATCAAGTACAAGCTCGTGTATATACAATTTACTCAAATTTAAAATAGATAAACGGAGTTCAAATATATGACTCTATGAATAAGTGCTAAATGTGACAACTATGAATCCACTGATTCAACGTCACAGAGACATGAAAATAAGAAGAACTAAACTCAAACAATAATGGTTAAAGTGTACAGTGGGAAATTATTTAGTTGAAATAAATCAATGCAGGGCCGTATACTTAGATTTGGTGCTTATTGTCAATTTTTTTCAAGTATCTTCAATTTAGAGAGGACTGGTATTTCTCCTCTTTCAATGCAAAACCATAGTCCACCATAGTCAAAGAACTATTCTAGTTTTGGGGATAAATGTTCGGATCTATAGTGAATCTATTGTTGGTGGATTTAAAATTTCTCATCTTCCATTTCTCCTTTCTTCTTACATTAAGTTATGTCAGTCATGTTACGTCGAAACAAACAGCAAGTAACCAATCGTGTCCATAATCATAACGCATAACCATAGCAGCATTCTATCCAATTGCAACATAATGGTCCAAAGTTAATTAGGATTGTCACCAATATTAATTAAATCTGTTTTAGACTACTACAAAGACAAATCAAACTACCACGGTATATATGAGATATGTTCGGATGTATATTAAGTAATAGAATTTTATTGGCGTGAACCAACAAATCGTCAAGTCTCATTCACACAACTGTACTCTTTGATAAAAAGATACATTTAAGTCATAAAATCAAAAAATATGATAATAATAGTAGCAATAACATTATTATCAATGTCATCATCAATAAAACAATTCATGAATTTCATAAATATCAATCAAAAGAGTACAATTTCGGCACATCATACATAAGCTCTTAAAGTAAGTTGTCAAAAGTTGGTCGGTTCTCATGGTAATGCACTGTATTTAGTTTTAATGTATATAAATATGTTCAGTTATAAGATATACAAATAGGCAATTCATAAACACGCTAATATATATATATATATATATATATATATATATATATATATATATATATATGGGTGTGGCAATAGATAAAAACTATGCATGAATAAACAATGTCATGACTACTATTAAGCTGATCAGCATATAGATATATATATATATATATATATCGATTTAGCTCATATAAATATTATTAATGTTTATACTACTTTCCCAACTAAAATAATGAAACCACAAAAGTCAATCAATCGTTTTTTGTCATTCCTTCAGAAATATCATAAGCATCATCATCATTCAAGTCGTTGCCATAATCATCATCATCCTGGTCAGCATAAATGCACGATACAATTTTGGAAAATACCAAAATAATCAATGAAGAGAGAGATTTCGTCAATATCACCATCATTTTCATCGCTTAGAACGTAGTATTTGATGCATAGTCGGTATATATATATATATATATATATATATATATATATATATATATATATATATATATATATATATATATATATATATATATTTAAAACTCATAATTTGCTCATCATTAATTATTTATATTAAATGAAGGTTTTGAAGTCAGAGAGAAGATTAAAAATAAACAATGAGTTAAAATACAAATGATTAGTTTTTTTCTTCAAGTTAGTAAAGATAATAATGAATAGAATACACTGGAAAATTTTTAAAGGCTTACTGTTTTACAATATTTTACAGTTTCATTTAATCCCTTATCAAAAGTTGGCACTAAACTACTGTAATATAATCATAAATCATCACAGTTAATCGAGTCGACACAGAAAGAAAACGTGTAGAAATAGCCTGACGTAATTCTTTATAGACGATTTATATTGGTGGTATTATGTTCTCTGAGTTATATAATTTAATAGCAAAGCTTTCATTTCTATTCTGGACAATAAATTTCATATAGAAATGAGCTTAATTCATATACAGTCATTCTGGTGCTCCTGTTTGTGGTTAACTGCCTTTGTTGATTCTGTTGTCTAAAGTTATTCTAACATTCATGTTGACTGTATTTATTGGTTAACCTCTGGGTCTTGAAATTGATTGACCACTTTTGTATAGGTTCGTCGATTGGGTCTATATCTAAGGGTTTATTGATTGTTAATTGATATACATATATAGCCTCAGCTAGCTTAAATGGTTATATTATTTTCGATATTTTGTTTATTTATTGATAGAAAGTGCTGATTACGATTTCGTAAAAACGGTTGTGATGTTGTCAAGAATAAAATTATATTTATAAAAAATTAATTGTAATAAATAAAGGATTAACAAAAAATTCCTGCTGTATATAGAAGCCTGACTGGAGAGTATTAAGGTTTCTGCGTTGCACTTTAAGTTAATGAGATACAGAATTTAATCTTTAGGAATTTATTAGTAATTCTTTGGAATATTCTCTAAAAACTAGAAAAATCCCCTCCCCGCAAAAAAATTTAGTTAATCAGTGTTCTTTGGAAACTTTTTGAAAGAATTTAGAACATAACTTATCATGTTTTATAAATCTGACTAAATAACTCCCAGATTTATTATAAATTTTAGAATCTTTCCTCAAACTTTTTAATATATTATTGTCGCTTATAAGACGCCTAACTCCGAGATCAACAGGCTGGATCCCGTCAGGATCGGTTGTGCAGACCAAATTGTGACACTACGGATCATCATTGAACAACCAATTGAATCGAACTCGTCACTATACATCTTCCTTGATTGTGAGGAGGCATTTGACAGTGTGGATAGAATAATATTACGGAACCTTTTTCGACACTATGGAGTGAGTAGATGAGGAGATCGTCAATATCATCCGGAGTTCACAAAACGGACCACACTACAAAGGACAGCTGACAGGCGCAATACAAGTGAGGACCGGAGTCAGAACTACACATCTGACGGGAAGGACAGAATACAATGGACAACTTGCATGCAACTAGACGATGTGTACTTTGCAAATGATCTGACCTTTCTATCCCATACACACCACAAATGCAGGTGAAGACAGCCAGTGTAGCAGTAGGCCTCAACATACGTAAGGTAAAAAGCAAGATACTCAAATACAACACAGAGAACACTAACCTAATCACACTTGATGAAGAAACCCTGGAAGATGTGGAATATTTCACGTACCTAGTCAGCAGCATCAATGGATCTTATTCAGACGTAAATCGGAGGATCGGTAAAGCAAGGGGATCATTCCTACAGTTGAACAACGTATGAAACTCAAAACAACTGTCAGTCAACATCAAAGCCAGAATCTTTAATATGAACGTCAAGACAGTCCTACTTTACGAAGCTGAAGCCTGAAGAACAATTACACCCAACACCAAAATAGTGCAAGTATTTATAAACTTTTATCTACGCAAGATGCTTAATGTTCGTTGACCGGATGTCATCAGGAACAACCTACTGTGGGAGAAAACAAACCATCTCCAAGGTCAAGAGGAAATATGGGAAAGACGTTGGAGGTGGACAGGACATACATTACATCACGAGGAAAGCGCTAACTTAGAATTCTAAAGGAAAACGGAAAAGAGGAGGGCCAAAGAACATACAGAGTCGAGAATTGGAAGTAAACATCAAAAGAATGAATAGCAGTTGGAAACAACTGGAAGGAATTGAAATGGTGGAGAAGATTTGTAGCTCACCTGGATGATTTTTATAAAGTTTTGTTCTCTGAGGATTGCAACTTCGTACCCTGCATCATCTATAGTTTGATCAGCTGTCACACATGACTTTTGATAGTGGTATAACCAACCACCGCCTACCTCAACGTTTAATATTTACTAGAGTAGGAGTGGGTTGGATGAAAGCTACAGACAGCCAAATCAAGATGTGGCATCAATCTATGAAGCCATTGACTGTTGGACTGAGTGCAGTTGATAGATTCTGATTACTATAGTGATTAGTATTCAGACACGACCTCAGTGGACGATTCGCAATCTGTCTCAATGTCGCAGATGTATTCACTCTTTATTTCTCTTTAGTTCCTGAGTTTTAAAATTATCTTCTACTTGGTATTCCTTGAATTTATTCCTCTTAAGTCATTTACTCTATGCTTAATCTTTTTTACTATAACGAATATTACTGTTATATCGATTTCTTTTGCTATAAATTCTGTTAATTTCATCTCACCGTTCTGGCATGGTATGAGATCTTAGGTTGAACACACACATATGCACTGGCTCCATGTCGATTATGATTATAACTGAATAAATTGTGGCTCAAATTCAAGTACAATTATGTGCACATGGTCACGGTGCAATATCAGCTTAGTGTTTCAAGTTACTGACATATAGTAGCTGTTGCTAAAATAGAAGTAATTTTGATCTTATGAATCCAGTAAATCATAAAATAATAATCAGTTATGACATCAAGGCCATAAACTAGTTCGAGACCAACTCGCTTTCTTTATAATAATTATAGACTAATTAGTGGGCAGACAATCCAAGTCATAACAAGTAACATTAACAATTATGTCACACTAGAATTAACAAAACCAACCTGGATATTCATCTAGATTGATGCTACTCCAGTCGAAATTCGTAGCCGCTTGTAAAGTTTTTTGTAATACATAAGATAGATTTAATGAATTATAATTATGATTATGATAACTACAATTATTTAATAATCCATTCGATGCTTTTGTAATATTGTTTGATGATGTAATCAGTTGACGATTCTGATCATTCTGAGAATAAGCTGAATGATGTAAAAATGATGGAGACGATGAATAGCGTAAAGAGGAGGAAGACGATAATGAGGCCGGGATACATGATGATGATGATATGAATTGTTGGTTGTTATGATGACGGTTGTCTGATGATAAATCCCACATTTGATTGTTTAAGTCTAGAATATTATTACTGTTATTACTATTATTATTGTTGTTCAATGATTGAGGATTACAATAATTAATGATATTTTCCTTATTTGTTATACCAATTGGATCGCTTGTATGTATTGTTGTTCTTGCCACGGTTTTCGTTGTTGTTGTTGTCGTTATGTTTTTAAATGATGCTTCATTTAATTTATTTGATAAAAATTGACTAGATAGTTCAGATGTATTTTGAAGATCCACTACTGAATGTGATGATAATTCTAAAATAAAAAAAAATTACTAAATTATGAGCTCAACAAAGAAAAAAGTAAACCTTTCATTGGCTTTATTTCTAGTCAACGTTAAGTAAGTAATATATTGCTGTGTAGCAATGGCTAAGTAATTTGGGTGTTCGACGTTTACTCACTAAGGCCGGAACCCCGCTGTTCCATCTATTTCAGCTTGAACAATCGGATAGTATTATTAGCTTTCACACTTAGAGTGTGGTTCATACCTAAGTACCTGGTGAATGAGTTAATGTGATTTAATACTTTATTTCACATGCTGAGTTATAGAATGGTATCAACTTTATGATGATGCTTAAGCAACTGATAATGGCTGAAAACCAATCACTGACCAAACAAAACTAATTCCCATTTTACAGAGTAGCCATTTCTCATTGACCTTAATACTGACTGTTTGTAATTAACATCTTTTTTCCTAGCTCAATGGTTCGTTAGTATAGATTTTATTTGCCATGCTCAACATGTGTCGATAAATCAAAATTAATTTACCAGTTAGATAACATTTTGAACTCTACTGTAAACGCACTGACATTCAGCATCAAGTTTCTTTTTAGTTAGTTCACTTAAATACCGACAATAATTACAGTTATTTAATTGCTTGAAATTAAAACTGTTGTGGTTATATATACATTTTGATGGAGTCAGAGACTGTGGACAAATAAATGAGCCACTACAATCTCTATTATTCGTGAAATGACAATTTTAAGATGAGAATTTTATTCTTAGAGAAATATATCACAAAGTTGTTAACGATGAAGATGTTTATTACCAAACCCATATCATTTTAAGAATGTAATCTGAGTAAAATAACAAAACACATTCGAATTATGTAAAATAGATGAAATACTTTCATTCTGAAAATCAGTGAATGTATAAATGTTGTTATGTGAAATGACTACTGATGTGCACTCATCTCAAAGCCTTCAGTTAGATTCAACAAGTCGAACATGCTGTCATGAGATGATATGACAGAATAGAAAAACGAAATTACATTTTTAAATCATGGTAATTTTTGTTTAACATTACTTCCGCTTTTGATTTAATATATTGATTGTTCAGGGCGATATATGTTTTATTTTCAGTGTGGTTTTTTGTTTAGTGTAACAGAGATTTATTTCGGTATGATCCTTATTTAAGATAATATTCTTTGCATTAATTTATTTTGAAATTCGCAGTTTGAGTTTTTGTAGTAATTCCGTATACTTTCTCTATGTGTTATAATCGTTAACAAATTATCAAGCTAGTAAAATTTATGTACAAATCATTGTATTCACATATCATTTTACTCTATTTCCGGAGTAAAATAAACCCATATCATCAGTCTTTGAGTCTTCAATGTGCATGGTTGGATTCGACCTTTCAATATCAAGCACAGATATAACAGTGACAGACATAATGATTACGTTCTATATATTTAAACAAATTTTATGAATGTCACACCACTCATACAGAAGTGTCTAATCATACCAAGTATAAACATGGGCATATCTAGAATGAGGTAATTCTGACAATAGCACTAAACGGGAATCTTAAGCGATGACTTTGGAGATGGGCTTATTTTTTGTATGAAAAAGTAAATGACTTAAATATACTTTTTTCAGGAGATTAAATTGCTGAAAATAAAACTTTAGAAAATCAATTTATTCACCAGGTACTTGTCTGTGAGTCACATTGAGTGTAAAGGCGATTGATACCACTCGGTTATCCAAACCGAGGTAGATGGAGAGTGGTTTGAACCTGGAACTCAGTGACTGGAAGTCAAATCCCCTAACTACTAAACCACTGAAACAAGTTCATACCCTCTTTTAAATTTACAAAACTGATCAAAGAAATAATTTTCAATTTTAAACAGCTTCAAAAATACAAAATGTTCAGAAGGTAATATAGTTGGATGAATAGACCATAAGTTAAAATATTCTAGGATTTATTGTCAAATTTGATTGGATCAACCAATTTTATGCTTTGAAATAAACATTCCTTTGAAAGGACCAAATATTGTACCTAAATATGCAGAAGGCTGATTTTTATAGCCATAGATCGGTAGAACTTTCAAAGATAAAAGATTAAGCTATTCTGTGAATAGATATTCTGTCTAATATTTAATAACAGTTTGATTTATCGTAAATTTTTATGTTTTATCAACGAAAAACGTTTATACATACTTGTGCTCTAATAGTAACCAATGTTCTATCGAAACCCTATGTACTGATCGAATTATATAAAATGGATTGTAGTAATAAATTAAAAGTCTTGGATAAGTGATTTTGGGCAGTCAAGACCTATCAGCAACGTATGTTGCCCAGTGTTTACGAGAATGAAACTTGGGACCTGTGTTACTATCACATGGTGACAAATACTAATATTGATCCCCTTATCCATAGTTTTAGTCATATAAGAGCATATTGCAGCAACTAACTTGTTCTGACGCTGGTAGTTTAAATATATTATAAAAGATCAGCTGAGTGTGTTATCTAGTTACATATAAAGTGGGACATTATAAGCTTTGCAAACATTTAGTCTGTACTTAACGATTTGATGAGCAATTACAATAAATAAGAAATTATTATTGGAATTTACATAATATAATCACATCGTAATCGAAGCCATTTGTCATCTGAAGTCTTTAGGTAATTATTTTTACCTAAATGGTTTGTTATAATCCCGACTTGATCAATTTATTGACTTGACCACAAAGTTTAGCGGATAAATTTTGGACAATCTCTGTATATCGTCGATTGCTACGTACTTATTCTTATTGTTCGTGTAATTAATCACAGCCTTAATATTTTAGTACAAACAGTTTCATAAATCAAAAGCTAAACTTTCTACACATTCAGTTATGCCGCGTTAGTTAATATAAAATTTCAACTTACCAGAACCATCAAATAGTGCATGATATAAATGTCGAAATGATGCACTAAGGTCTAATTCACCCGTTGAAAAACTTGACCTTAATGAATGATCTTCACATTGCTCTTCATCCTCATCTTCACCTCCAACTACATGTTCTTGCTGTGAATCCACTATATGATCTGATTGGATCATATAGAAGTCAACAATCGATGATGATGTTGAAGAAAGTAACGGTCCAATTGAATTATTATTATTATCTTCATTAACAAAAGTTAACATTTCATGCGCATTATTTTTATTGTTGTTTCCGTTTTTTTGAAAGTCACTATCATAGTTATACAGAAAATCTCTATTGTTAATACCTACTAACGTATCAGAAGTAGTACTTGTTATGTTAGCTGATGACGTGTCAAACGCTTTAATTAACAAATCTGTAGAAATGCTAGACATATATTCCCTTGTATTTACTTGTTGAGGCATTGACAACCTATTATCATTATTGTCTACTGGTAGATTTATTTCCTTATTAGATGTATAGCATACAGAATTAGTCTGTTGATCTGACTGAACAGATATTTTGTCAGATGTATGATTTACTACATTTTCATATTGATTTAATCTATGCAAGTAATGTCTGCCATCTCTGTTGACATGGTCATGGTTAAAACTGGCAATAGAAGTAGTAGTGTTATTAGAGATATTACGTGTGACGGAAATTTCATCATTACCGATTGTATGTTCGTTGTTGAGTATGCTATCATCAGATGTGGTCATTGCAATAGAAGCACACTGATTTGGAAATAATAATCCTGTCTGAAATACGTCTGATGTATTTGAACCCATTGAAAATCCTGTACTAAGTTGAAAATTACAAGTTATCAAATGATCATTTGGTATAGTTATTGCATTTATCTGATTAACATGTAATGCAACATCATTTTTATTGCTACTGTTTTGATTGTCATGCTCCATATGTACATTATTAGAATTATCACAATGATTTGGGATAGTAGATGTTGTATTTGATAATATATGATTATTTGATGTACGGGAAACTGGTTTATTTAAATGATGTGAGATATTATCGGTTGCGTTATCATTGTCAGCAATATGTTGGTTTTCTATAGCATATTCGTTATACACAGAATTTAATAAACGCGTACGATTGGTTCGATGAGCTTTTGAGTTAGGTAAAGTGTTACTACAATGGTTAACGTAATTAATTCGAGCCTCTAAATTAGAGTGATTAGTTGTGAATTGCAGGTTATCATTATTACCATTATTATTTGTATTTTCAGATGTGATTAAAGTTGTATCATGTGTGTGTGATATTTTTTGCAATTGTGACATGTAACTCAAACTTTGCTCTGAACATACGGCCTGAAAATGTAACAAACAATAAAAAATATTAATTCGACAATTTGTAATGTGCTTTATGATCATTCAAGGATATCTGATTTTTAGTGGAATTACGTTCTCTAGCCTGGGTGATTTAATTGTGAAACTCGTTTAGTCCTTATAGGCATTACCAGTAAAAACTTTGGTTCAGACAGCAAAACGTCGCCAAAGTTATTTTCCCGGGCTAAACATATTCTCCACTATCCGAAAGATAAGCAAGCTAGTCCGCTTATTTTCCGGTACACTTGATCGTGACCCTAAAGTTGTACATAACTGTTTGCAAATAGTGCATACATTGTAAAAATTGTATACGTCAGACAAATTCATATACTTTGAACTCTTTAAAGCGGTTTAATTATGAAAGGCTCACTAAACAACTATATACGGTTATCCATTGGTTTTGAATAATCTAAAACAAGCACTTGTATGTAAACACGTAACAATCAACCTGCTTTTATGGGGTCAGAGGTAACGGTTGTTCAATACCCGTTCTAGAAAACATTATCCAAGAAACCAGCGGTGAATCCTCGAAAACATTTAGCACTGGATACATAATAAGCATAATCATCAAATACCTTGTTCAAACTAAACACTCGAAAATATCAGACCTGTCAGTCAATATAAAGTACAAAATGATAACAAACTTTTCAAAGGTACTATAAGTTTACTTTTTTTACTTTTCAGTATTCATATGTTCATACAAAATTAAAAGGTATGAATCGGCTGGACGAAATTTTATATGTATAACGCTAGGTAACAAAAGTATGTGTCAAATAAAGTAGACAAAAACAATAATATGAAGGCTAAAAGTTATGTTGGAAATTAGTTAAGATATTCATCAACATTATTTCAAATTACCATTGGATCAAAAAACTGCTAAATGACGACTCAGAGCTTATCAGGGCGTAAATAATCTTATATAAATAATCTGAACTGAATAAAATAAGTCATTTGGAATCTGACTACCAATATATCAGATGAGAACAAAGAAAACGATATGTCATTTGACCAACTTTTCTCAGGAAAATTACAAACAACTAAATGAAATGGTCTTGTTTCATGAAAGTCAGATAAATATTGCTAAGAAAAGTTAGATCACTGAATAATAATAATCTGTATATGCACTTGCAATGGTTTATTCATAAGTTGGACAACGAATGTACAACTAACAGAATAGGCTCAAAGTGCAATGATGGGAGGAAAGACTGCCATTTTTAAAATATTAGGTGAGCAAAAGAATGGAATGGTTTAAACAGAATAAAGATAGGGTAAACGTATATCATGTAAAGTGAGCAAACAACTTAGAGTCCTCTGATTTTAATTATCGTTTGGTCCCAAGAATATACCGAATCGGAAATCAAAGGGTGTGAAGTGCACTGATAATGCAAATAGCCAAGTTCAAGGACTATAATCCTTATATATATTATAGACAACATAGATGAATATATCTTTTGGATATCAATTCAGATTTAAGGATCTTATACATCCATCTTATGTAGACATATGTATGTTCATGTCCCGAAAGAAAAACCGTTGCCACAATACCGAGTAAAATACAAGGCAGATTTCGCTCTGTTATAATAAGAACTTGTTTACATACTTGTCTTTTTGGAGCTGAAGGCATACATTCTTGATCATCAAACTGATTAGACAGACACCAATAAGATCCTTTGCCTGGTTCGTCTCGAGAGCGTGGTATTTTGGTAAAAGACTTATTAAGTGATAAATTGTGACGAATAGAATTCTAGAAAAAATCAGTTTACAAGTGAATTTATACCTTCCAGCCACTCCCAGCTTCACAATAATACGGAAAGTTATCACAGATCCACTGATAAATTTCACTTAATGTCATTTTCTTTTCTGTCGTACTTTGTATAGCACATGTTATCAAGCTCGCATAACTATAAGGTGGTTTACTATCCGGTTGGTAGGGCGTAGACCCACAGTCAGACTCTGTTTTATTATCATCCACACTCACAGAGTCCCAACTGTCCATTTCAAAGGGAAATTCACTTTCAATCGAAGCTGTTAACATGCTTATACTGAGATTTGGAAGCCAATCTATGGCAGTCAGACTATTATCTGGGTCTGTCATAATCACCAGGTTCAACCCATTTCAAAAAAGTAAGTTTATATCACCAACGTTCTAAACAAGGCATTGGATACCAAAGCAAAATTCAATATATGCCGTTTCATTACTAAGCATAAGAAATTACGCTTATTATTCATTTAGTCTTCGTTTCTGAATAAATTTGTTTGTGTGAACACAGTTGCATAGTCAGAAGTTCTTTCCACCTCGAACTTAACTTGATAGAATTAGCATTCTGTTTGTTCCCTTGAATCTGCGTCTTAATGGTAAGAAAACATTCTTGATTATGAGAAAGTATGGTTTTAACTATAATACTTCTGTAAATGGTAGATAATACTAATGAAAGCGATTGTAAATGACAATAATCACCCTTCGAAGTCACGTAACTAAAGTAAACGTCGATGCCATTTATATCACTCGTAAAAGAAAGTTCCATAATTTTAGGGATTTTGACCACAAAAACGTTTGTACGAATTTAAGCAAGAGGTCTTTAGAGCTCTATATTAAATGAGTGTCCTCATCAGCACGACCGAATACCAAAATGAATTAGTGATCTAATATTGTGAAGTGGATTATGAACGATAAAATATATTCTAGGTTTCAGATTCAGAGATTCCAAGCGAGAAGATTTGGCCTGAATGTCTGTTTAGTTGCACTTCTTTGAACATGCTCTAAGAAAGTGATATCGTTCTCAAAGTAAGGGAATTTACTGTGGGAATTCTTAAGTAAACACTGAGGACGGTTACCTGATACTCTAAAAGGAACTCCCATTATTTTCCACTATGTCCGAAGTTTGTGTTTCGGGAGTGGAAATCAGCCTTTCTATGGATATCCTTAGGAAAATATTGACCAACTGACACCAAACAGTTTCATTTCGATACGATGCAGATTTGACCAGTCTAGCGCAATTCTGGAATAAATACACTACGTAACAATTGCTGGATATTCTACCCTAAAGAACTCCTGATGATCCTAGCACCAGTACCGTTATCACACTGACTCAATTATAAAGAGGTATAATTATAGTGTCAATCCAATTCCATTATTTGGTTAAATTTCGTTCATTCAATCCTATTATACCATGAATAATTACTTCTAATGAACATACTGGTCAATTCAGTCACATAAACATACATTCAGGAGCACACATACTCCAATTCCTGCATAACCCTTCTGTTAGCGAACATATAACAGCTCATGTGCGATTGAGTTTGTTCACATTCAATTCGGTTAAGTCATTTTATTAACTTATTGACGAACTGAGTCATCCGTACAACAACTTATCTTGATCGAGAGACAGAAGTCGATCATGGTCTAGGAGACGCTCAGCTCCTACAAACTTTCGGCGAGAAAGCTCGAAACTGTATACCACCATGTAAATTCATACGATCACACCGATTGTCGATAACCGCCGAGACAACTAGATCAGCTAATAGAAACAGTTGTTTATTTTACGTCCAGTACAGAGTAACAGGCGCTCAGTTCTTAGTGGACATGAGAGCAGAAGTAAGAGTCGTGCCCCCAGTGAGTAACGAATCACGAAATATTAATACAACGCTTGCGCTTAAGGCAGAAAATAAATCCGATATAAAAACACATGGCAAGCGTAAAGTAACCTTGAATTTTGGTCGTAGTACTTCATTCCGCTGGGAATTCATTATCACACATGTATCCGTACCTATAATTGGTATTAATTTCTTAAAGAATTTCGGCTTACTATTGGATACCCGACGAAACTGGCTCATGAACGGAGACCATTCATTAGTGATAAAAGGAGTGACGACCGATTACGTATCCATGAATTAAATAGTATCAAAAGACAAAAGCGAGCCATATAGATCGCTTCTAAATGAGTACACTGATTTGACGAGGGCGTCATACGATAGTAGAAACCTTAAACACACTGTACAGCACTATTTTATAACGAAAGGTCCACCGACTAACGCAAGACCACGGAAGCTAGACTCAAAAAGCTTGAATATTGCGAAACGAGAGTCCAAAAAATTGATGAAGCTTGGTATCACAAGACCATCTAATGGTCCCTGGGCAACTCCGTTGTATATGGCTCCCAAGAAAAACGGAGAAATCAAGCCATGCGGAGACTATAGAGCCCTTAAAAAGCAAACTATAACAGACGGATATCCGGAAACGCAAATCCACGACATTACTACCAATATAGGAGGTGCCACGATATTTTCGAAAACTGATCTTTTTCGGGCTTATTACCATATTCCCGTGGCGGCAGAAGATATACCTGTAACAGCTGTGACCACTCCGCTTGGGTTATTTGAATTTTTGTGAATGCCCTCAGGATTAACTAGCGCATCCCAAGTCTTCCAGAGATTCGTCGATCAGGTTGTCAAGGGTTCGACAGAAGTATATGCATATATCGATGATATACTAGAGTCTAGCACTACCGTGGAGGAACATCTACAACATCTACGACAGTTGTTTATGAAACTTCAAGAACATGGCGTCACTATTAACGTGGAGAAGTGTGAATTCGGAAAGGAAACATTGCAATTCCTAGGTCATATGATAAATTCACATGGTATCACTCCAGTTCCAACAGAAGTCGCTGCTATTCGTAATTATCCGTTGCCTGAGTCACAGAAAAAATTACGACGATTCTTGGGACTAATAAACTATTATAGACGATTTATTCCAAACTGCGCAACAATGTCAAAACCATTGACGGACGCGTTGCGAAGACATACTCGGACATTTCGCCTTTCAGCGGATGCTATACAAGCTTTTGAGAGCGCTAAGCGAGCACTAGACGAGAAGATGATGTTAGTACGACGAAAAAACGAAGCACCACCAGCCGTAATGACGGACGCATCGAACATAGCATAAGAGCCGAATTGCAGCAGTTAGTAAACGGTCCACGGGAACCACTTTCATTTTTCTCTAAGAGATTAAACCCTACGCAAACGAGATATAGTACGTTTGGAAGAGAACTATTAGCAATTTATTTAGCAATGAAACGTTTCCGACATACGATCGAGGGTACCATTTTCACAGTATATACTGATCATATAACCCTCACGAAAGCATTAAACGCCAAACAGGATAACTACTCGCCGAGAGAAATTCGACAGTTAGAATTCATTTCCTAATTTACGTCTAACATACAGCATATCAAAGGCAATAATAACGAAGTGGTAAACGCTCTCATCCAATCCTAAATCGATTATCACAAATTAGCAGCATTGCAAAATATCGGCGTCCAGTTAAACAGACTACAGTCTGCCAATACATCCTCGTTAGTACTCGAAGAAACTCCAATAAAAAAAGCAAGCATCATGTGTGATATTTTTACGAGTCAACCACGACCATTTATTCCAAAGACATTAAGACGAAACATTTTCGAAGCTATGCATAATATTTCGCATCCTGGAATAAAGGCCACCGTTAAACTAATTAGCGAGCGTTTCGTATGGCAAAGTATGAACCGGGATATTCGTAACTGGACGCAAGCGTGTAGAAAATGCCAGAAAGTTAAGATACATCGCCACACCAGTTCCGCAGTAGGTCAATTCCGTCACTCTGATAGCAGATTCGAGCATATACATGTCGATATTGTGGGACCGCTGCCAATTTCAAATGGCTTTAGTTAAATTTTCACTTGCATTGATCGATTCACGCGATGGCCTGTAGCAGTGCCAATAAAAGACATTGCAGCCGAACCTATAGCAAAAACCCTAGTAGAGCATTGGATTTCCATATTATGGCGTGCCTACTAGGATTACAATGGATAGAGTTCAATTTGAGAGCCGCCTCTTCCAACAACTCACCGAGCTCCTCTGAATCAAGGGAATTCGCACAACATCCTACCATCCGATGTCAAATGATATGGTAGAGAGATTACATCGACAACTTAAAGCCTCATTTACAGCTGTTATAGCAATAATGATTGGGCCAGCAAGCTCCTATTAGTCATGTTAAGTTTAAGATCAACAATCAAACAAGATATAGGACACGACCCAGAAGAATTGGTTGATGGAACTACTCTACATCTACCAGGAGAGTTTTGTACCTCAGGTAAACTTGTTCCAACTGATGTAGCCAACTATGTACAACGTCTAAAGCAGCATATGATTAAACTAAGGATAACGCTTCCGAGGCAACATCAACACCGTGTGTACATACCAAAACAACTGACCAACAGTACCCATTTGCCTATCACAAGGGATAATGTGCAGCGTCCCTTTCAACCGGCCCACGATGGTCCCTTCAAAGTGATTAAAATAAGTGATAAAACCATTACGGTAGACAAAGCTGGAAAAATGGATGTAATTAGCATCGACAGAGTCAAACTAGGTTTCATCGAAACCGACGACCAACCAGTACATACAGATACTTCGAAAACCGACAAATCAAGAAAACGTGAGTTCCAATCATCAACGATATCGACGAAGACAAATGTAGAGAATCCGGTTATGACAAAATATGGTCGAAGAGTGGGATGGCCGCAACGATACATAGCTACTTTTTTGAATTAATAATTTCTTTCACTTCTTCGGATGTAAATTTCATCTTCATTTTCTATTTGCACATCGAAAAATTTAACTTATTCATTGTTATATTCGACATATTTCATGTATTCTTTCGATCTTCCGTTATGATCGTATTTGGCCTCATGGACATATATGAATTCAAACTTACACGTATTTGTAATAACTTACATGATAGTTCCGTCATATATCTTAATTTCATAAATTTCGATATTTCTCATCTTGTCAAATTTAACATTTTTTCGCAAAAACAGACACTGTTTTATATCTTTTTATCCTGGGGGGCTATTATAATAGTTCACGTGCGATTGAGTTTTTTTCACATTTAATTTGGTTAAGTCATTTTGTTAACTTATTAACGCACTGAGTCATCCGTACAACAACTTATCTATATCTGATGTGAACCGGGAAACAAGAAGTCCTGACAAACTACGAAAGCTATCTTTCGGGACTTTATTTCATTTTATTCAAAGCTTGTAAAACACTGACATCTATTTTTCTCCCTGATCTATTCTACAGCACATAAGCTTTCG